GCCAGGACACAGCTGCCAGTCCCAGTTGGGGGAGTCCTCTGGGACTGCTCATGCACTTTCAAGAGCTGTAGTTCAGCCATCACCTCACATTGGGTTGCTCTCTGATGTGCTCAGGAGCGCATCCTTTCCTTTCTTCTGCTTCATCACGTAAATCACTTTTGAAATGACAGCCGTTCTACTGTGCTTTGTATGTCAGCAGCTCTGCATCTGCCGAGCATTAAGTTATCTGGCATGTGTCAGGGGAGAAGATTTTAGCTGGTAAGAGAAGAGATGTAGAAAGGGGATTGAAAAGGTTTAATTGACTGTTTCAGAGAAGTCACATCTTTCGCTGGCCTTTCCCACCAATGCCATGTCATGTACCAACCGCGGTGGTGTTGACTGAAATTTCCTCACCACAGATACAGTTTTCTAAACTGAACAAGGACAAGAGCAAAGACTTAGTGCTTCTTCCGCTGTCTTATGGAGGAGTTATGAGATTCTTCCTGTGTTGTCAGACAGTTTTAAATTGAAATCTGCTGCCTGTTGCAGATTGGTAGGCTAGAAAAACAAATACAGATTCCATTCATTTTTGTTGGTGCCCTGGGTCTGGCCAGGATGGAGTTAACTTTCTTGAAAGCAGCTCTGCTGGTGCTGTGTTTTGGATTTGTGGCTAAAGCAGTGTTGATAACACCGGTGTTTTGGCTATTGCTGAACATTGCTTGCACAGTGTCAAGGCTTTCTCCCCTCTAACCCCCCCAGCAAGCAGGCTTGGGGTGGACAAGGACCTGGAAGGTGACACAGCTGGAACAGCTGATCTGAGCTGACTAAAGGGATATCCCATAGCACATAATGTTGTGTTCAGCAATAAAAATAAAACTGAAGCAGAGGAAGAAGCGAGGCGGGGAGGTTTGGCTTCCAAGGTGGCTCTTGCTTGGAGGTTGGCTGGGCGTCAGTCTGCTTGTGGGAGGTGCTGAGTGATCGCCTGTGAGGCACTTTGCCTTGTCCATCTTCCCCAAGTCCATCGGTAGTACATGGGCTCTGCCAAGCCTTCAGAACCTGAAAGCAGGGATGGGTGGCTGCCAGTGAGCAAAGCATACAAATCGATAGTCTTGAACTCAGTGAAGCTCCAGACCCCTCTCACCTTTACCTTATGGGGTGCTATGGACAGAGGACGACAGACACCACGCTGTGATGTTGTAAATCAAGAAGCACGGTGCTTCAAGCACTTTCCCTCTTTCAGGAAGCAGTTGCCCTCTAGTTGGGGTGAGCAACAGCAGATTTACCTATCTCCCATCATGGTTGTAATATTCTGCCATCAAAGCATTGATTTTTTTTTTCTTTTTTTTTTATGGTGGTGCTTTACTCTTTCCCTGGGAAGGGTGTTCTTACCAGTAGCAGAATAGGCTCCATACGGTATCTCTGTCAGTCATGGCCATGGTGCTTGGCCAAGTCTGTGTCTCCAGGGCCGAGATCATCCCTGTTGTTCTTTGCTAATTCTTGGAGAGGCCAATGGAGCTGTGGTCTCTCTGTCTCACAGTTAGGCCACTGTGGATTTGTGTGTGATTAACACACTCCAGGTAACTGTGCACTGACTGTTGTTTAGCTGTTAGTCAAAGGTGTACAGTGGCACAGGAGCAAGTAGCGTATGCAGAGGTGGAAACAGCATGCGTTGTATAGTGCTAGTTGACACAAAAGGCACTTGGCTACTCCGGGAAATCTGGGAGGGAGAGGCATCCTTAAATACTTTCCCTTGTACACTCATTGCAGACTGAGGGTTTCTGGTGCTGTCTCAAGAAGTATTAAAGGAAACAATTGAGTAATAAAGCAGTTCCAGGGTGGTGAGACATCGGAAGGGTTATGGGCCTTAGGACGGAGGGCGCTTTGTCTTTGGCTTTGCAGCTGCAGTAGCCCAGTCCTGGTGGACTGAATTGAGGAGACAGAGCTGTTTTGAAATGATGGGACAAAGAAGATGTTTCGTGTTCTAATAAGGGTTCAACTACTGCTCCATCAATAAAGCAAGATACCATCTTACCTTTTGCAAAGGAGGTTTGTGGCCAAATGCTTTATGTTGGTGTTTGTTTTGAGACATGAGAGGGTGAGAGCTGTGTTATTTCTTTTTTCTAGGAGATGCATCCACAAGTCCTTCATTATCAAGAGCAACAGCAAGTAAAGAGTTAGATGAGCAGGCAAGAAAAAACATCCCTGGGAAGAACAGGGGGAAGAGGAAAGCAGATACCTCCTCCTCACAGGATAGTGAGCTGGAGGTAAGTAGTAATCTGTTTTCTACAGGTAGCATTGCAGAATAGTGTGGTGGTAAAAGTCCTCATCCCTTTCTTTCGTCCTACCTCTATGGAAATGGAAGGACATCATTAGAATCATAGAATAGTTTGGGTTGGAAGGGACCTTTAAAGGCCATCTAGTCTATCTGTTCTGCAGTGAGCAGGGTCACCCTTAACCAGATCAGGTTGCTCAGAGCCCCGTCCAACCTGGCCTTGCATGTTTCCAGAGATGAGGCCTCCACTACCTCTCTAGGCAACCCATTCCAGTGTTCCACCACCCTCACTGTTAAGAATTTCTTCCTTATAGCCAGTCTGAATCTCCCCTCTTTTAGTTTAAAACTATTACCCCTTGCCCTATCACAATAGGCCCTACTAAAAAGTCTGTCTCCGTCTTCCTTGTAGGCCCCCTTTAAGCACTGAAAGGCCACAATAAGGTCACCCCAGAGCCTTCTCTTCTCCAGGCTGAACAGCCCCAACTCTCTCAGCCTTTCCTCACAGCAGAGGTGCTCCAGCCCTCAGATCATTTTTGTGGCCTCCTCTGGACCCGCTTCAACAGGTCTGTCCTGTTTTGAGAGAGAATTTGGAAAATTCCCATGATCCATGTTATCTGAGAACTGCCCAAACGAGTTCTTCAGTGGTCCTTGACAAGCATCACTTAAACGCATCTTGGAATAATAGTGGTGTCAATGGAGGAGACACCTGGATGCCTCTAGTACAGCCTCCTGCTCAGAGCAGGGCTGTCCCCAACACTAGAACCATGGCTTTGTCTATCTGGGTCTTGAGAACCTCGAAGGCTGGAGATCCTCTACCTCTCTACTGATCTGTCTCAAGACTACCATGTCCACCTGGGGAAGGAGGTTTTCTGTCTCCAGCTGGAATCTACCCAGCTGCAGATTTCCCCTTTTTTTTCCATGGCAATTTTCCATCTGCCGCTACTGAGAAGAATTTATCTCCATCATCTTTGCAGTTACCTTTCAGTTAGTGGTGGTCTGCTATTAGATCACCCTTAGACTCCTCTTTGCCGAGATAGCTTGGCACATCACAGCTGTGATAGCCATCACAGCTCCTTCAGCTTCTCCTCCAGGCTGCTGACCATCTCCACAGCCTTTTGCTGGCCGCTCTTCAGTTTCCTCACATATTTTTGGAACTGAGGATGCAATCTGGGGTGCCAAGAAGAGTGAGGTAGCACCTTCCTTCTGTCAGCTAGGCACACTTAGTATTCTTCGGCACACAGTTCATCTTATCCACAGGGAGAGAGCGCTGCTGGCTCATACAGTGCCAAAACCAGGACAGCCTGGTGTCCAAAGTCCTTCTGTACTGAAATTCTGCTATTCCTCACGGCAGCCAATCCCCCTTATTTATCATAACAGAGGTGTCTCTGATAAACACCAAGGTCATTTACCTGGTGCTCTCCAGATCGCAGACAGTAAACTTGTACTCTAGCAGGGCTCTAAGTTCACTTGCACTCTAAGATTTTGCTTTTATAACTATGAAAGCAAGAGAAGCTCTTGAAACAGTTGGATCCAGAGAGCCTTACTCTGAGCGTGTGTTTGCCCTGCAGCAGTATATAAACTCCACCACAGGAAACTGAAAGAGTTTAATTAATAATGTGTCCAGGCTGTAAGATGAATACTGGTGTTCATATCTGTTAAAAGCATACTGCAACTAGCCACAAAATTAACCCTAAAACTTGCTGCTTTATTGTAGCTTGGTGCTTGGAATATCTCAGCTCTAACTTGCTTTTATTCTCTCTGCAGCGAGTGTTTCTCTGGGACCTGGATGAGACCATCATAATCTTCCATTCACTTCTCACAGGGTCTTATGCCCAAAAATATGGCAAGGTAATATTGCCTTTTCTGTGGAAGAAAAACCGTATCTGTCATGTAGAAGTAAACGTTAATCTTTGGAAAAGGAATAGAAGATTGTATTTTGTTTTAACTGTATAAGGTGGTACTTTTAACCTGTTGGCTGTTTGGGATGGGGAAGGAAAACTGAATTTGGCTGTATACAGAGCTGGGATGTGGACATGACAAACACTTCCCTTCTAACAATACAAGTCTTAAAATCTCAAACTGGTTTTATCGTCATTGGGAATTACTGAGGTCATAGCACATAGTGAAAAGAAGTATTTTTTCTCCTTCAAAATATATTGAAGATTTTTGAATGTTTAGTTTGCATTGCTTCTGAAAACACATCAGTGCCTGCTATGCAGTACTGAAGTGTTTGTTAAATTTTGGGTTGCTGTATTACCAAAATGTGGATTTTTTTTTTTTTCTGAGTTGTTTAAAACTCTAGGGAAATTGTAGTTCACACCACTGAATGAAGATGGAATTACATCAGGCTTGATATACAGTGGAAACTGTGCAACGTAAATGATGAAAGGTTTATCACAATTTCCTGCTGCCTGTTACCACAGTGAATTTACATTTTCTTTTTGTTTTGCCAGGATCCAACTCTGGTGATTGGCTCGGGTCTGTCAATGGAGGAGATGATTTTTGAAGTAGCTGATACTCACTTGTTTTTCAATGACCTGGAGGTACATGGCAAATGTTTTCGAAAGGCAAAACTCCACGTTACCTAATTAGAATTACACTGCACTATTTGTGAGGGCTGTGGTGCTTCAGAGCCGCTTAATGCTGAAACATAACAGCCTGCCAAACTGAAGTGGTTCTAAGCACAGCCAAATCAGAGGTGTACTCTTTCACCCTAGGTGGGCATTCTGCAGACTTCTGGTGTCCTGAGCTCTCTTAGCTCTCTTATGGGTTTCTACTTGAACCTGTATAAATAAAAAGAGTGATGTCTGCTTTGTCTTATATGTTCATTCTGGACTGGTAGTCACTTTGCTTTCACTGATCCTTTTTTGAAATGGAGACCAGAGATGTGGGGAAAAGGGTGACCTTGGGAGTGCCAGTTGTCAGGGACTTTCACTAAGCCAAGGGCAGAATACAACTTGTGCATCACAGCCAGTGTCTTGGTAGAGGTTCCATGGGCTGTGTAACAGCTATGAAGGACACGCTTCCATAGACAAGCACACGGTATGCATGGAGGCCCCACAGCACCCTTCATTTTTCTTTTCTGAAAGCTCTCTCTGCTGCTCTCCTGTTCTCATCCTGCCTCAAGGACTTCTGATCAGCTCCCATCCTCTTTCATGCGCAGTATTCTTTGCCAAATTAAATACATCTTGCTTCTGCACCACTTCCACCAAAGCTGAATATAAATCTTTGCTTTAATGATGGCAGTGCCCTATGCTGTGCTCTGATACATTATCCAGGTAGTAATGGACACAGTAATGTGATCTGTACCAGAAGGTGTGAAGTTATGCCAGAATCTGGAATTAAATGGTTGGAAATAGCAAATTTCCTCACTCACATCTTCTTTGATATGAGTCCCGAATATGGACTCATGAACCTAATTTGCAGAATTTACGGGACTAGTTTAAAGCTTAGGGAGGCTGAATATGAACAGCGAACAATTAATTGTGGATGCATCAACTGATGCACATGGTGGGAAAACAAGATGGATTTGTTGATGCAAGTAGAAACTTAAATGAAGTTTCCATTTGTGGTTGTGACTACTTGCAGCTGCGAACTTTGCAAAGGCAGTAATGACAGTTACCTCCCTGCCCCAGGAAAAAAACAAACCAAAAAAACCCAACAAACCACTAAATGCAGTTTCTTATGCTGGAAAGGTGGTCACTGATAGGGTAACTATGTGGTCAACAGCAACACTTACAGCTGTAGGTGTTGGTTAGTAGCAGCAGGGGGGGATTCTTGAAATTGGGAAAATTCTTGTCTTGTCCTAAGGTGTTTGCAGTTTATCTCTGGGTTAAATCAGCTGTGCTAAGCACCAGTCTTTGCAGTGCCACCATGCTGATGTTTGACTCCAGGGTTCGTGCTGTGATGGAATTGACTGTTGTGTTGATGAAATCAACAGTACTTGACCAGATAATGTGGTTTTGGGGTATTTCTGGTTTTGTTTTGTTTGTTTTTGTCAAATGGCAAAAAGGTTTCGAAATGTCATACAAATGAACTTTTCAGACTTTTCTGGCACTTCAAGTCCCGGTTTTGGCAAGGACCTGTAGATGCTGAGAAGTAAAACCTAGTAGTGGAAGACAAAGCTAACAGAAGCTATATATAGGTTTGTGGAGGCAGTGTGGCATGGCTTGTTGCTGTCAGGAAATGTGAGGGGTTTGGTTTATATCACACTTTCTTTAATCTGCATTTCTGGATTACAACAGTGTGACTTAATTTTTTTTTTTCTTAAACAGGAGTGTGACCAGGTACACATAGAAGATGTGGCATCCGATGACAATGGCCAAGATTTAAGGTGCTGTAGCAATGAATGCATTAAACCTACAGCTGATGTAATCTGGTTTTTGTGGGGACTTCAAACCCAGTTGGGGTTAAGGGATGGAGGTCAGCACTGTGCAGGGCATGAAACTTGGCAATGTTTGTTGGCTGGGTGGTATTTCTTTGAAGACCTACAAAACATTAATGCTTTTGGAATTACAATGGTAGTTAAATTTTCGACTGTTGAATGTTGCCTCTGTGTTTAATGATGTGTCATGAGTGGAGAACCAACACTCCAAACTTCAAGATCCTGACCTTTGAAAGTCTCCCTATGATTTGCATCCCTCTGTGAGCTGATTGTGCATACTATCAGGTGGGGTGAGGGTAAGTTTTTTCTTGCACTAATGAGCTGAACTGGCTCATGGAAAGGTCTAAGAAGTGCCTGTCTGTCAGGGAGAAAGAAATACGGGGAAGGTGGTGAAGCAGGACCTGCTTCCTGCAGTCACAAGCTGGCAAAGCAGCTCATCTGCTTGTGGAGCTGCAGCTGTGATGTAAAGACACAGATGTTATGTTTGGAAAATACTGTGCTGGGGTTTACCGCTGCAGAATGAGAAAGGGTTTAGTGGGAAGGATGCTCTGTTATCGCAGAGGAGTGAGCAGTCAAACAGCAAAGGAAGGTTTTGTAGTAGAGGGTGTGAAAGAAGAGTTGAATTGGAACATTTCAGTACAGCAGTTTGGAACCATCAGCAAATGCAGTTGGATATCAGAGTATGTTGCCACCAGAAGTCGGTCTGTGCTGTTGGGGTGCAGGGGTGGTTGTGCAGAGTTCCTCTCCAAGGTGCTTTCCTAGCTGCTGTCAGAGCTGGTCTGCAGCCCTGCCAGAAAAGCTGCAGTGATTCTGCTGCTGTGGCACATGTAACAGATCTGCTTTTCTTGAAATAGCAACTACAATTTCTCCACGGATGGCTTCAGTGGCTCAGGAAGTAATGCGAATCACAGCTCATCAGTTGGTGTCCAGGGTGGAGTGGACTGGATGAGAAAACTGGCCTTCCGCTACCGCAGGGTACGAGAGATCTACGACAAATACAAAACTAACGTTGGAGGTGAGTGTTCACCTGCACCCATATCTGAGCACGAAACAGAGTTTGTGGTGCCAGGCTCCAGATTTCCTCACAGCTTTTGCTGTCCTGAATGTTTGGACATGAAAAGTAACCATTCTCCTAGTGCTACATGGGATCAAATCTCCATGGAATCCAAGAGGGTACGTCCTCCAAAATTGAACCAGTGCACTCTGTGGGCAGTCATGTAGATTGGGGGGGGGGGAGGAGCGGGGAGGTCAGTCAGTTATGTATCTAAGAGAACGTTTTGGTGCAAACCGTTTCCCTTTGCTAATTTTGTATGAAAGGCTGCCTGTCACTCTGCTTAAACGGGCCTAAATGACTTACATACCATGCTACTTAAGAGGTGTTTTCATTCGTGTCTTCACAAAATCTGTATTTTATCATGCCATTGTCAAGAGATGCAGTGTTCGTCGTTTTGGCTGTTGTGCTGACATGACATCTCTACCATCTGTTTACAAAATTACTTAAAATCTCCTCGTTTTACTTCTCTTCCAATGCCAAAGTAGTAATAATGATGCAAACCACAGATATGAAGTGTGGATAAATTTTCTTTTTAGTCTGAATCTTGGCATTGACATGCCTGGAAAGGGTTGCTGCTTGGCCTGGTGGGTTGTGGGTTTGGGTACACTTTGCCTATGCAAAAAACACCTTGATAGAACATTTTCTTTGACATATTTTCTAAAAATCAGGTGTTCAAAACTATAACTTTCAGCCTTAAAACTCTACCAATGTCAGTCTGCATTTCAGTATGCTGCAATTACTTTATTTCTGCTAGGGATCAGATCATTATTTCATACTTTGCACATGGGAAACCTGGATGCAAAGTTTTTCAGGACCTGCCTAAAGCCACATGGTGAAGCAGTTGGCAGTGCAGCTCCCCATGGGTCCCGCCATGGCCCCGTTGTCAGAGGAGCGGTGTACTTCAGGGCTGGAACGAAGGAAGGGGGTTTTACATCATGGCTGGAAATTGGGTGGAGAGAGGTTCAGAGTCAAGGTGCTCCTTGTATTTACTGACATGAGCAGGTTTGAGCGTATGGGTTCCATTTCTGTCTGCTTTTAATTCAGAACTGGATGTTTGGAGAAAATGGTATCTAAAAGGGATAAAGAATATGTGGATTAAAAAAAAAAAGAGATTGAAAAAGATACCTAAAAGGGATTAAAGTGGAAAGGGTCCTTGGGAAGTGGGAAGTCAGAGAGGGTCACTGCAGGAGTTCCTTCCCCTGCTGTTGGTGGCCTTGGACAGCACCTATTGCTGTGAGCGCTTTGTACAAGAGAAATGCAGTTTGTTGCAGGTATCCTGAGAAATAGCTTGAAATAATTGGGGGAAAGTATCTGCCCAGTCCCCACAGTGAGAGTCACAGGTGGGTGCCAGGGCTCAGCCATGTCACTGGAAGCTGGCTTCTCCCGTTGCCTTGAGACAGTCTCAGGTTTCAGATGCTTTCAGTACCGTGTTATTTATTGCAGAACAGGCAGCTTTTAAATCAAGTGGTGGCTCTCTCTGTGTTAGACTTGCAGCTCACCTGGGAAAACTTGTGTTGCTTGCCTTCCAGGCCTTCTTAGCCCACAGAAGAGGGAAGCTCTGCAGCGTCTAAGGACCGATATAGAAGTGCTAACAGATTCCTGGCTGGAAACTGCATTAAAGTCCCTGCTACTCATACAGTCCAGGTATGGAAACTGGAAATGCGTATGTTGCTTCTCAGCCCTTTCTCTTGCTTAGATTTGCACACAGTGCTTTCTTGCAGCAGCGTCCATATGCAATACTACTGCTGCTTATCACAGGTACTGGGCAGCAAAGTGAGTGAGTGCTGAAACTCCACTCCTGAGCACCCTTTGGGATTTTTCTGCTGCAACATCTGTTGTTAAGAAGGTCCCCTTAATAGGTCTATGCTCACAAAATTGCATTTCTGCTGGAGGATTTCTGTTTAAAACAACAAAAAAACCTCATGCAAAAACCACACATCAAAATCTTGGCCTAAAAAGATTCTTGAAAGCAGGACAGCAAAGCACATGGCACTTTGGAAAGCTGAGCCCTCAGCACCACTGGCCATAGATCTGCTTTTACAAGTGTTTTTCTTCTTTTAGAAAAAACTGTGTGAACATCCTGATCACAACCACCCAGCTGGTGCCAGCTCTTGCCAAAGTTCTCCTGTATGGATTGGGCGAGGTGTTTCCCATTGAAAATATTTATAGTGCTACAAAAATAGGTAAGGGCTTGTGCTGAGTACCTAGCACTGAGGCGTCTGCTGTGGGTTACCTGGGATTTTACACAGGGATTTTACACAGTTCCTGCAGCTGAGCAGCCCCCGTGGATGCTGTGGTCCAGCTGGCTGTGTAGTAATGGTGGCTTCTGGCCTCGCGAGCTGAACTGGGTGTTACCCCCCTCCTGTAAGACAAGAACATGTTTCTGAGCTGGGAAGAAGGGACCTGTTCAGGCTTCTGTCACTGTCTGCCTAAGGCTCATTATAGCGGGATTGTCTTTTGGCAGGTAAAGAGAGCTGTTTTGAGAGGATTGTGTCACGATTTGGAAAGAAAGTCACCTATGTGGTAATTGGAGATGGGCGTGACGAAGAGGTTGCAGCTAAGCAGGTGGGTTTCTGACTGCAGAGGAGGGATGCAAAGGGGAGATACCACAGCAGCCTTTTTCTGTAGGGAGTCTTCTCCAGGGCTGAACTCTTCAGGCCAGGGGCAGCCAGGAAGAAACGTTGCCTTTGATGCAAGAGGTCTTTCACTACATTAAGATGGGGAGTTTTCTAGTTCTAGATGGGTTTAGAGTTTCTGTTTTACTCTTCTTTAGGATTGTCTATAACATTGTCCCTGTAAAACAGCATCTTGGTGTAGCACGTCTTGATTGTAGCATGCAGCGATCAGGGTAAGGCAGTTTCTCAGAAGCAGAGAGGGACTCAGGACACGGTTGCCAGCAGTCAGATCAATACGCAGCATCTACCATTAGTCAGAATGACAAACAAAGGGGCAAACAGTTCCCTTGATTTGGACAGGCCTGAAGAGGTGATTCAGTCGTGCTGATGAAGGGCAGTGAAGTGCATAGATTAATGCCAGGGCGTCATCTCTGCGTTCTTCATGCTGTCTGCCATGTGCCAGAGTTGTCATCTGCACAGGTTCTCCAGGAGCCCTGGAAAGGCTTTCCTGGGTGAAGCAACCGCTCACAGCCGAGCGCTGAGGTTTCCATCGTGAGCACGCAAAGCAGCTGATAGTCAGTGCCAGTGCCCATCGTAAACAGATGTGCGGATAAGATAAGGCTTGAGATACTGGTGTGCATACGGCTGAAGTCCTTCCTGAACATGGTATGCCTGGACAGCGCTGTCACAAACGCCATATTGCACAACCCTGCAGGTGTACCTTGACTGCTTCCACCTAGCTGTAAAATCACCCCGATAAACCTGACTTTGTCATTTCTCTGTTGCAGCACAACATGCCTTTCTGGAGGATCACGAATCATGCAGATCTCATGTCCCTTCACCAAGCCCTCGAGTTAGACTTCTTATAAGAAGCTGGAGCACAGGCGTGACTGCAGCTCCTGCAAGCTGTCTCCGTGGCTAGGGAGGCAGAAGTCTCACGTATTTGGGGACTCACTTTTCAGCTTGATGAAGAAAACATACCTAATGCAAACTGTACAGTAAAACGTGACACCAGGTTATCTCAGGAGTACAGGCCCTGCCAAGTACAAAGGTGTTGTATACTCAGCAGAGCTAGGGCTTGTCTGAAGAAGAGACTTGCAGAAGCCAGCTGACTCCCTCCAGCAGGTAGCCTCCAGCGGGAGGGGGTGATACAACAATAGAAGTATTTCTAAGAGCCTTCTCCTTTCTATTCAGCTTAGTTGTAGAACCCGAGTAAACGCAAAACCTTATTTTTATAGAAAAATATTGATGGCAGAGCTGAACCTCTCTTATTTTGCAAAGCCGGAAAGAACTATGTTTTTTTTTCCATAGGAAATATTAATGAAAATGTCAAAAATACCTCTATTGCTGTGAAACGTGTCCTCTCTCCTTCCCTGGGTGTTCAAAGCAGTAATTTATTACAATGTCCTTATGTTATTTCCTCAACATGGGATTACTGGAAAATAGAAAGAAAGGGAATGTTTCTGGGATACGTCGTTCCTTGTAGAGGAAAGTGTTGGTGTTCTGAGCTGGTCCCAGTGGCTCCTAGTCAATGTGTGCACAAGCCCTGTTAAACAAGCAGGAGATCATTGGATTCCAGCTATCCATGACCCAGACAGTAGATCCCACAGATTTTCCCTGTAAAGGAAAACAAAACTGCCTATGAACATAAGATACAGCACAACACTATTGCAGACTGCTCAGATGTGAACAGTCTTCATCTAAGAATAATTTGGGAGAACTAAATCCTCATGAATGTTACAAAGAAGAGTGTGGTTATTAACCTTCACCTCTGCTTTCCTGACTCCATTTGTGAGAGTAAGTTCCTTTTAGTAGAATCAATTTTCTTGTATTCTTTGCATTAGCCTAACTACATAGTTAGAAACAAACCCCTTGTTAAGAGGGACTTAATTTTCTCAGACACTGTGACTTGGCAGCCTGGAGCACGCTGGCCTTGGGGGTGATGCTTATGCTGATTTTTCTGCCACCATCTCAGAAAAAAAGGCTGGAGTCAGTGACCTGCAGTACTGCTAGCCAGAAATGGCCAGCTGGAGACTGGGGGCTGTCGCAGGGCACTGATTTTGTGCCAGGTCAGGCTGTGTTCAGTGGGACCTGTACCCCAATGGCTCCAAAGCAGCAGGTGCCTGGGGTTTCTGCACAGAGGAGAGATGCCTGCTGTGCCCCACCGCACGCCTCTGCTGCTCCTGCTGAGCCAAACGCTGCAGCTGCACCCAAACCTCTCCAGATTTCTGGTCTCCAGCCCAGTGTCACCTGCCTGGGACCCAGCGGGGACTGCTCTGAAAGCATGTTGCTCCCGGGAGGACACTGACCCATCAGGCTGTGCCCACAGAAGCAGGTGATGTGTTTGCTGCATTCCTTTCATGGCATTAATTACTGAGGAATAATTTCCATCAGTGCTAGGGGAGTTGCTGGGCCAGCTCCCGTCACCACTGTGGAGAGAGTGCCTAGAGCAAGGGGTTTGGATCCCCAGAGCTAAGTGACTGGACCCAGAGGTGTCTGTTTCACATGTTCCTAGCTCCTGTTTAATTAAAAAAAAAAAAAAAAAAAGAAAATCAGAGATTCTCTTTCTCCAAGGTGGTCAGAAGAGTGGGGAGTTGTCTGCTTTCCATCCAGCTCCTTGCTAGGTGTTGGCCTTGTGCTCTGATCTCAGGCAGATGCTCTGGGTCTGCGTAATTCCCCAAGAACTCTACTTCAGGAGCATGCCATCGGTGCAAAAGCTGCTGCCTGCAAGCAACGTGACCTCTCGTCCCATTAGAAAAGTGTGAGGAGCCCATTCCTCCTGCCGGTGTTCCTGAACAGCTTGGTGGAAGGGATGTAGGGTTTGAGGAGAAGTGGGAGCAGGAGTCCACAGGGGATGTGCTACCATCTGCCAAGTACACAAGCTGGAATGCTCAGGCGTGTTACCGGTGTTCCCAGGCAGCTGGGGCAGCCCATGTAGGTGTGCGCTGGTGTTTCACTGCAGCATGGGCCCTGTGCAGAGCAGGGAGGGCTGCTGCAGGGCTACAGCTCCGTCACTGCTGGGTCCATAGAGTCCAGTTCATCTGGGGTCCCTGTGAGGTGTCGCTGCTGCATCAGCCAGAGGGGATCTGCAAGGAAATGAGCTGTGCCAAGCAGCAGCCCCATTGCGCCCAGGATCTGAGATGTTACAGACGATCGGGGCTTATTTGCAGTCACAAAAGAGTCTGTGCTGGATCCTCTGCAGGTCCCCAGCCCATCCAAACATCTCCTGTAAACGGGCTTGGGAGATGTCCCAGCCTGTGGACCAGCCTTTTCGGAGCACATCTCGTACTCCGGCTGGCTGAACTTCGGGGTTAAAACCTGTGCCTTAACCTCCCACCATCTGGTGTGGCTGAGCAGCCCCTTTGCTTCACTGAGGTCCAGAGCAGCTTGCAGGAGAGCTGTGCTGGCCCGCACTGGGGGGTGGGATGCGTTTTGCCCAGGCACTCGCAGCGAGTGCTTGACCCAAGGTACCAAGCAGCCTGGCAGCTGGCTGGCTTTGCTTTGTGTTTGTTTACTTTAAAATGTTTTAAGGAAATTTTAAGATCTTGGCAAAATTTTAGCTGAGTGTGGAACTCTTGCAGCCAGTGACATTTCATACTGATATTTATATGATGTTTCCTTGAATGTATGTAAAGTACTTTTATAATAGGAGGTTGATGGTACATTTTTGTGTTTATGTTTAATAAAGGTTGACCCGGCTATTTTATTTTTCCCTCTGTTGGCTGAATTTAAGACTTCTCCTGTCTCTTGTGTGGCAGGAACAGCATCTCTATCCAAGCATTGGTTTTCTTTTGTTCTGTGCTCTCCCATTACCCCTGGTCTGGCTGTAGTTGAACTGGTGACAAACCCAAATGCCTGAACAACAGCCAGCCTGCTGGCCTAGGGTGCCAAGGCCCAGCCTTTCTGGGTGCTGCCAGCTGCCCCTCCCAGCCATGGAGGCTTTAAAAACCCACCTGATCCACTAATATTTGCTGCCTCCAAGGCCCGGGGGGAGGTGTCCGTGCTGCCGCTCATGGGAAGCAGCAGAACCCCAGCCCACAGCAGCCCTTGCTGCGTTACTGAGGCCTCGGCAGAGGGGTGAGCTTGGGTGCTGCTGGCTGCAGAGCCTTTGCCTGTTCGTGGTCTGTGTAATGGGAACTGTCCTATGAACTGGAAAAAAAAATAATAAAGTCTCTATTTTCTATAGTCACTGCTTCAGCCTGTTCTCTATCAATCAGCCGTGCAGTCAGTCCCTGTGGTAGCCTGGGCCAGGCTCAGTGGCACAGCAGGTTCAGAGTGATGGTGCCGCAGGTCGCAGCACGGCCACTGGCACAAGCAGCTGCCGAAGACCCCAGTCCCGTGGGGTGTCCTGTGGAAGGCAGCCGTGGAGGGTGCCCGCTCCCTTGGCCTGCGCTGG